TCCCCACAACCGTGACAGTTTTTATTGACTTTTTTTTCATTCTAGAATTGAAGAAGAGTGTTTGAATGTACATTTGCCTTCGTGTTTTGCTGAAAATTCATGAAATAGGAGAATCACCTACGAAAATACCGCCACAGCCGCCAGATTCTAGTTACCTAGCAGAGGAAACAATTGAAATGGTCAACGCCTTTCAATATTTTTATCAGATGATAACATGTATTGCGTCTTATTCGTTATAAAGATTAACATCAGATCAGAATGTTAAAAAAAATGTTATAGACCAGAGGCGTGATGGGTGTGTAGGTTGCCTATCCAGCCCTCATAAATGAAGAAAATGGAAAGGGTTCAAAACACTGGAATCCGATGTGTGTGGCCATGTGCCCTCTCTTCTGAGAAAGTGCGTGAAGAATGCGTGACATGACGAGAAAATGAAACTAGTTTGATTTACTATTTCCGCACTTCACTCAAAGATCATTTTTTTCCTCGCTTTTCCTTGCCGTGAAGAGGGCCCAACGAAACCAGATGGTACGGGGCCTCAATGACCTCAATCGGAGGAGAAGAATGGTGTATGGGTGAGGTGCAGGATTAGTGAATCAAACTAGTTTCGTTTTCTTCATGGCGATAGGGGTCCAATAAAACCAGTTGGTCAGAGGGCACAGAGCTACCCAGTCTGTCCATGGCAATGTTAATGCGGAATTAATTGCGAAATTGTGGTTACAAATCGATGCAAACTAGCCACAATCACCATTAGCGTTAACTGGTTTCCTGTCACATCAACGCTGAGAGTTAATTGGCAAGGAGGGTCGGTTTTTAGTATCTCTGGATTTGGTTGGAATAAGGGAAGAACAGTTCCAAACGATGGCACAATGTTGTCATAAGGCATTGGGAATATGAAATACTTTGACGGGGACATTTCCTAAAGTTTTACAGATAACTGTTTCCAAATTCGAGGGCATTTGTTTCTGGAGACCGGGAACATTTTCGGATGGGAGGGCACATAGCCTGACACACTCCTATACCCCGGTAGGGCATCGCATCGAAATGTAGCGTAATCCATCCTATTGACATTTATTCTGTCACCAGTAACTTACTTGGCCAGGTTTAAAGTAAACTTAGTATACCGGTGACACGGTTTAAATCTAGGGCGTCTTCACGTTCATTACTCGTAGGTCTTTAAAATCTTGATTGTTTAATTGTTGCTAACTATCCAACCTCGTGGGTTTTCTCCTAGTCCTCCGGTTTCTTCCCACTGCTAAAGATCCCTACGCGCAAGCGAATTATTGAAATAAAATTAAACCAAGTCCCGAAATGACATAGTTTATGTCGAGTGGACGTTAAACCCCATTTCTTTCTCTCTATCTCTCTCTTTCTCTTGTTTTAGTCTCGAAATGACCTAGTTTGTGTCGAGTGGACGTTAAACCCCATTTCTCCCTCTCTCTTTCTCTTGTTGCTAACTATAGGTTAGATCTTCAGGACGAAATCATAACCTCCAACAGACCCTAAAATTTTCCGGCGCTTCCCCCAGCCCCAACGTGGCCTAAGTTTGGTCTGCCTACTCCCCTTCGGAGGTGCCAGCACGACTCTGTTATAGTTCAATGAATGACATGGATTTAACATGGCAGGAAGGGTGTATAAAGACCTGACATATAAAGTCCTGACATAAAGATTAAGATCAATTGAAAGTCAAAAAAATTGTTACAGGACAAGAAATAGTTATGATTTAAAATTAAAAGCAATTACCGATCTCATTCCTGCTATTAAATAAAGACTATCGATTATAAAAAAATACATCTAATAAAATACTAACGACCTTTTTCTTACACAATAATTACACATTGTTGATCTTCAATTAAATTAAAAAGACAGATACAAATATGATATAGAAATTGACCTTACATGCGACCTTCGTAGTCCGCTTTATGGGACATTAGTTCTGGTGTAAATCAAATACAAATTCAAATAAGAGGCATGGTCAGGTGTTTACTGAATAGAGGTTTGTTTTTATATTATCATAATAGGCCATTTGTGATTATTCAGACCCGTAGTCTTTCGGATGGAAAGAAAAACCGAGGTCCCCTGCACACATTGGCGTGCATGTAAAAGAATGGGCCTTAGCGCGGTTGTCCGAGCAAAATTTCCCTCACAGCCCAGTCTGTGCAGAACATTAGGACGTTAAACCCAGCTATTTAATTTCGCTTTGATGACTAATGGTATCAAAATAATTTCGAAATTCAAGAAACGAAATAGAATTGGCACCAAAAGAACAATGCTTACAAATACAACAGTTTGTTCGCTATATAGACTTCTGAAATTTGAAGTGGTGTCAATTGTTCTAGCAAGAGTATGACAACCGAAACTTGTTATGGCTAAAATGAGATGAATGGGAATTGTGTTTAACGTCTGAGGTTTCAACACCAACCGAACTAATGAAGAACGCCATTTAAGGTGTTTTGCCATCAAAAGAGACTTTAGCGCAACAGGAATCCCCCACCCCCCTTGCAAACTATAATGAGATGAATGGGAATTGTGTTTAACGTCTGATGTTTCAACACCAACTGAACTAATGAAGAACGCCATTTAAGGTATTTTGCCACCAAAAGAGATTTTAGCGCAACAGGAATCCCCGACCCCTCTTGCAAACTACACTTTTGGGAAAGGTGAATCTCTAATAGGAATATCGGTCCAAAAACATTCCATTTTGTTTAGTAGTGGTTTCAATTATTTTCGAGGTTTCACTATTGTTAAGAGTTATTCTTTCTTACTGAATCAGTATTACGATTGAAAACCACTAAAGAATCACCGTAGACACTTCGCTCCGAATAAAATACAAGAGTGTGGTACCTAAGCTACTTCAGGAGGATGGTGTCTAAACTTCTTCAGGATCAGCATGATCACTAAGCTACGTCAGAAAGATACTTAAAGTAGCTAAGTCTTTAACTCAATATCATCCAAAAGATGGGCTTCTGATATCCAATACTTAAGATAAAATAAACATTTTACCATTGGTACACGAATCGTGTACCATAATGCGTTTCAGGCCCATTCTAACAAGAACGAGGCTAGACATTCAACAAGTCATGTCAATAGGTGACGGCATATTCATATCGGGAGAGTATGCGTAATAAATAATATGTAGACTAGAATAACCAGACACTAGAGATTTTCATTTGATTGAGACTTCTGACATATTTCGCCGAACATAACTGATTTGAAATTAGAGTAAAAATCGAAACGATTGAATGTAAATCAGTTTATATATATTCCTATTACATTATTATATGCGTTACGACCCATTTGTGTCAATTCCTAGGTCCAAAATATTAGCGATTTGGCTCTTTAAGCTACTTCAGGAGGATGCTACCTAAGCTACTTCAGGAAGATCATACTTACATGTAAGCTACTTCAGGAAGATGGAACCCAAGTTGCTACTGCACGTAAAAGATCCCTTGGCAGTTAGAATTCGAAACAAGAGTAGGCGTATACCCGTCTTCATTAACGCAGACGGAGCAGAGCAATAGGACGTTAAACCCCATTTCATTTCATTTCATATTAGTTACTTAAGCAAATTTAATTGAATACAGCCCCATATATGGTACAGTTTACGAATGCTGTAAATGATTCATTCTGTTATGTCGCGCTGTAAATGATTTATTATGTATTGTCGTGTAGTTATTTTTATATGAAGTAATTAATTTGATGATGACACTAAGTAATGCTAGCAACATGATCACACCTAACTTTAATAATCCAAATAATGGGATGTAGACAGACACGACAGTGTCATTTGGACGGAAATGAGCAAACAATATCAGTTTATATATTAAAGCAATATTCAAAATATCAATTGATTTATCGATGAAAACAGTATTATAAATATGGGTGTATAATACAGATGAATAAAATATCCATATTTCATCGATAAAAACTCTTATTAAAAATACCATTAAATGTATAAAACAGTTGAATACTTTAAATTATAAAACAAATATTACGAAAGGTTAAAACTATTTCACCCTATCCTCCTCAGTTTTATTAAATAATAAATTTTAAATTGTTGATAGTACTTGGACATGAGATTATATTATTAATCATATAATATAACATGAAAGAGATGAAGGGTCGCCTACTATTTATCTGTGACCGGCAGCAAACATTCATTAGAGACCGAAATTTGGAACCGTTTCATAGACTTTCCACAAAATTGAATCTTATGCCAGAATTTGTTAAGACATTTAACAAAGTAAACGTAATGAAGGGAATTTCACAAGGGGTTCTTCCCAGAGAAAAATAAATTGAATAATTCCTGAAACACTCCTATAAAAAAACAAAATTTCAAGCACTGTGACATTTGGTATTTATGGCATTTTAATATGTGGCCGACAGACATCAACATTGATAACTCCCAAACACCAAACAAATGTAGTAGCCCAACAAATAACAGATCAAAAAAGATAATAATAAAATATGACTGCAGTATTATGTGCATATATCCTTGGGCATGATTCATTTGTGTTGATTAATATATTGAACAGATAATATCAGATTGGTAAAATAATAGAAAAATATATGAAATAAAATGAGGTTTAACATCCTTCTTTTTTGCATCAACTGGCATACTTCCTTAACCGTGGCCATTAGCAACAATATAACTATAATTTACAATCATTTGACTGTGCAAAGCTTGTATATGGTTGCATAGTTTGAAATCATATGTGGAACAATATCAATAGTATTGCTTCTCGTCAATATGTATACATTTACTATACAAGTATTATATATTTAACCTATGTTTTTACCATAGCTTTTGTCATCATCGGTATAACTATATTGTAAAATCCTTAACCTGTACAAAGCTTGTATTTCGATCCAAGCAATGTTAGCAATCATATTGGTAAAAACACATCAATTGTAACTGTTCCTATAACGGTATAACAGTTTTCCGCACCGTATGTGTCAATAAGATATTTTAACAAAGCAGGTGTATTGCATAACAGACTTACCTGAGATCAACTAACTACGATAATATCCTACTTCTGTCATTCTTATTGTAGGGGACACAATCTACCTATCTTTAGATTGTCATTCTGCTGTGGTATAAGACTGCAACTGATTGTACATCCAGTCGCCCGTTAACACCGCATCAATAATAAATTAACAACCTTCGTACTACTATTGATTTACCGTTCTACTTCTCCAATGGTTATTTCTACTTTCAATTGTTTATGGTTTCATAAAGACTTTCCCTAATACTTGACAACAACCTAATTATAAATCTCATTTTAAGTGTCATTGCGCCAGAAGGTTAATAGTCACTTTCTTTGTTTAAATTTAACAAAAAAAAACTGATGAGAGATGATCTGTTGACGATTTAAAACTCTGTTTTAGATGCCACTTTGACCTCGATGTTCATGAAAAGGAGTTATTCTTTCGGAGCTGTCTATATGTAATGAGGTCGTTGTGGCAAATATTTAGCCGTTCAAATTGATGTTTTATTTATACAAAAGCCTTGCTTGATATTTAGCATGTATCAATTACACCTAATACTGCTATCTACGTGTATCTAGTTTATAAATTACTTTTTAAAAACAGTTATATTACTGTTATTAATTCCATTCAACCATTGGTTTGTCTTCAACTCGTCATTTGTGTTCGTGGGCATCATGATGAGATGGCAACGTTATATGTTTTATATTTATGTATAAACGAACACGTCATGTGATCAGTTATTTGTGTATAAAACAAATGATAACCTCCCGTGTTCAATAGTCTAATTGTGTGAAGTACTCTTGCCTTAAAGATACATTAGTTAAGAGTTTTATAAAGAGTTGGCCATTCTTGCTATAATAATTAAAAAAATAGATGATAAAAAAAGAAAATGTTGAAAATTCCAGTCAGATTACTTTGTTCTGAACGGAAATGCCACTGTCAGAATTTAGGGCTAGAAATAGGCATCAATTCTGTCATCACCGTCTATGAGAATTGGCGATCGTTTGATTGACAAACGATAACTCCACCCACATATTCTCGATTATCAAGTAACATGCTCAATGGCTATGGTAGCCTCGCTTGGTAGGCTTTTCATCACCAGTTTCCGGTTGTGACATCAGCGAGTAACGGAAACGTTAGTTTGGTCCGCCATTTATTGAGAAACAGATATTGTTATTCTACAAACTTTAAAAATCTCGTAATTTGAGTGACATAGGAAACCCTTGCAGAATTGAATCTCTAATAAGAATATCAGCCCCAAGATGGTTCACCAATCTCTCTACATCTGTACAATTAACTTTATGTTTTCCTTACTGATGTAAAGAACATAATATCAATTATAAAACGATCAAATGACAAATGTAATTTGTAGAGTGTCATAAGAAATTGTGGGCGACGAGTGGGCGGATCGACGGCAATATACGACCATATTTCCATGTGGGCGCTTACAAAGTAATCAGTAGTCACTGAAAATATTGCCTCGAAATAGACGGAGTGACTCGGTGGTGATAATTGTCTCAATTTTTTTGGCGGGGCGGGCGTAGGGGGGAGGGGCTTTTTAGTCCTGGATTTACGTCGTTTTTGATGAATTGGTAAGATAGTCACGAGATAAGGTTTGCTAGTCAGGATATACTCTAGAAAGCATTCAAGACACACGGTCTCTGACAATTAACAATAAATTACAGACCAATGTTCTATTTCACTTTTATGTCCCTTGAATCGGGGACCTAGCGATCGATATGAGTAGCAATAGTTACTTGACTTTTTTGCACAGCTCTGTGGAAATCATCGTTGGAAAAAGGAGTGTATATATTATTCCAGGTGCAATACGCCCGGTCCAACACGACAATTACGCCCAATGTATCTTTGTGATAGTTATCAAAATCGTGAAAAATCTGTGCGTTTTGTTCAGCTGAATTATGCGGAATTATGTGTTAATCAGCACGAGTGTCACGACGCCAAATCATGATAGTGCACTATATTGTTTACAAAATATTGTTTATCATATCAATGTATGATCTAATTCGTGTTCGTCTTTAAACCATTTCGACTTATATATGGATGGAGGTCGAAAGCAGTAAAATAGTATGATTCGACTAATACCCCGTAAAATACTATACTTAAATTCAGATATTCTGTGAAATGCTCGGCTAATATTTATGGAGAGAGATATATAAAAACTAACTATGATCTAAAGTTTAAAAACATTTATTCCCTAATTTAAAAACTGGCACTCTATATAAAATAAATATGTATAACTTGTTGTTATGTTGCATTTTTATAAAAACTGGGGTGGTTCCTATATTTTTGGTTTTACTTTTCGAAATTACTTTTTTTTAAATGTTATTTCGAATTGGTTTTTGTATTTATTTACAGAGGTTAAAAGTTTTCGTTCGGAAATATTCTGTATTTTTTTGTTTTGTTATAATAGATTTGCACGTCTTAGAGGCCTACACAACCACACAGAAGAAGAAGAAGAAGGAGTGTTTATTAAAGTGTCAGACAAAGAAACGGACAAGACAAGAACTCATGCAATACCATAAATTATGATCACATTATTGATATCCATATGTCTTCATAATTAACGTTTAAATTAAATTTAAATGAATGTATGAATTGTGTGCTTTATTTATTTTCCATTTATTGGCAATTGGTATGAGCTGAAACATTCATCGCTGCACGTATATATAGCTTTGCTCCAATAATGACATTTTGTGCAATGTTATGGGGGTTTCAACAGAAACGTGGTCAATGCTGAGTTAAAGACTTAATTTATTTGGAGCCACGGTGGCTCGGTGGTTAAGACGCTGGCTCGCTAACCTGGAGGTCAGGTGTTCGATCCTTGCATTGGCCGAGAAAGGTCATCGGGATTTTCCGACGTGGTTTCCCCTTGTCAGTGGTGCAGAACGGAGGGCCTGACAAGGACAGCTGTCTAGTCCTTCGGATAAGACGAAAAACCGAGGTCCCGTAAGCACGTAAAAGATCCCTTGGCAGTTGGAATTCGATATAAGAGTAGGCGATAGTGCGGCTGCCCGGGCAAAATTTCCCTCATAGCACACTGTATGGCGTATGCCCGTCTTCATTAGCCCAGTATAGGAGCAGAACAGTAGGACGTTAAACCCCATTTCATTTCATTTCATTTCACTTGTTTGACGACATTTTGTTACTATCGTAAATCCTAAAACATGTTAGGACAAAGTTTGGTTTGTGGCAAGTTTTGCGACATTTTTGTAAAACATCAACACAATTTTGTAAAATAAACTCATATTTCGTGAAATATTAAATGATTAGAATTAAAATATCACAATAAAAAGCTACTAATCGGAAGGATGTGACACAACAGAAATAATATTTTTGATATCAATTTAAGTACGTATAGTGTAAGACAGTTGTTACTCACAAACTTATAACCAATTTTTGTCCGAATATGAAAGACATGACAGAACTGAATGGACCGAAGTATCAATTCAACCAAAAAATGTTACTCGACTTTCATAATGCTGTGATATTTGAGGATAAAATTCCCACTTAAGCTGATTTGCAGTTGTCCGTGCTGTGTGTTCGGTTTGTCCCTTCATTGACATCTTCATGCATGGAGAGGGGTTGGATGGCCGAATGGTTAGCACGTGCGCGCTGTATCATAAGGCCTGCCATTGAGTCAATTGGCGTGGTTTCGAATTCCCGGTTGTACGTGACAAGGAGTAGGGTCGCTTGTCCAGCCTCGTGGGTTTTCTCCGGGTCCTCCGGCTTCCTCCCACTGCTAAGGACCACTACGAGGAAGCGATTTATTGAAATAAAATTAAACCATATTTAAGTCAGAAATGACCTAGTTTGTGTCGAGTGGACGTTAAACCCCAGCTCGCTCTCCCTCTCTCTTTCTCTCTCTCTCTCTCTCTCTCTCTCTCCATGCATGGTTATTCAACTGGGTCAGCCAGATAAATGTTGTGATACTCACGATCTTTCAACCGATTTCTTAGAATTGTTTTTACTAAAGTGGGTTTGACCAACCAGAAAAGGTGCTATTAAAAATATCTTAACGGGACGAATTAGTAAGGCTGTGCAAATATAAATTCCTTTTTCAGTTGGAATTTAAACATAGTAAGTCACCGTCACGGTGAAATTATCCAGACAATTTATCATGAATTTAGCTGTCCCCGTGACGATAAGGAATTTATGCTATATATTTAAAACATTGTGTGGTTTTAATGTTGTTTTGTTTGTCAATTGTTGTTGTATTTTATCATGTATATTATTAACAAACGGGCTTAATATTTTTTTTATCATTTCAGGCAACAGAGAAAACAACTCATTTTCGAAAAATTAAAGAGCAAACCCGATATATTTTAAGGCTGCGAGTTAATAATGATGTGTGCCAATGGGTGAAACTGGAGGATACAACTTCTCTATAGTGAAATGAAATGGGTTTAATGTTTTACTAATTGGACCAGCAGGAACTGGTCGCTAACCGCTACTCATCTTGTCCTTCTTGCTGTGACGCTCCTCGAAAAAACCTTAGGCTTCGTCATTTCAAGCTTGATAGACATGAAAATTGGCATGCCTTTTGAACAATTTATTCTGCATCGATTTGGTGGATTCGATATTTGAATTTCACCCAACAACATGGACTAGGGTCAGTTCGTACTTTTTGCAACAATCAGGCTAATGGAGAAAGGTATACATACGCAATCCAGTTTGTTTATCATGGAAAGTTATACTCGAAATGAAATGAAATGAAATGGGGTTTAACGTCCTACTGTTCTGCCCCTAACTTGGGCTAATGAAGACCGGCATACGTCATACAGTGTGCTATGAGGGAAATTTTGCTCAGGCAGCGGCGCTACGGACTACTCTTATATCGAATTCCAACTGCCAAGAGATCTTTTACGTGCACGCCAATGTGTCCACGGGACCTCGGTTTTTCGTCCCATCCGAACGACTAGACAGCTGTCCTTGTCAGCCCCCCCCCCCCGAGTTATACGACTTTTGTCATTACCAAAACCTTCATCCCTAAAACGTTAAACTATATTGGAAAATCACAAGGAAAAGAATCGGCCAGTGCCATACTCATCCTACCGGAAGTACTCAAACCTGTACTTAGAACCATAAAAACAAAACTCGGATTAACCAGCATCTGAAGACAGTCCATATT